GATCCTGTCACCTCGGGGGCGCCCTCTCTGTGGGCGTACGGCTTCGAGACGGGCACACGCGCGGCGGTCGCATCCTCGTCGTTTCCTTTTTTTTGGGGGGAACGCACGTTGGATGTGTTTCGCTGTGTGCATGTGTACGGGGGTCGCAGAGCAAGGGGTGCGCATGGTGTGACGCTCGGCGCCCTGCGCGCCTGATGCTCCGCCGCGTGACTATCCCGTTATGCATATCCTGTGTGCGCTCTAGCTCCATCGGGGCCCTGATGAGTCAGCAACAAACCATGCATTACACATCGTACGCGGAGTGTGCCCTCCTCCCCACGCAACGCTCTCTCATGTAGTGCGCTCGTCGCAAAACCAACAGGCGTGTCGCACGAAACTGGAGAGCAAGAAAGATGACCACGGCCCTCCCCACATCGGTGTGCGTATGTGGGTTTTGGCCCTGTCCGGACGCTTTCAGAAAGCGTTGATGCGTATGATGATTGACGTAACATCACAGACTTTGACGAACTCATGAGCAAGAAGCATTGTCGCCCCAGTCTGACACCCCGCGACCCCCTCTCTTCTTTCCCTTCTTCCCTCCCCCTCCTGCGCAATGTGCGTGGCGATGTGATCGACAACCAGGCCGATGTAAAGCCGTCGCAGATGGACGTTGACATTGCATGAAAACAGCGTTAATTCACGCCCCGTCTGATCGCCACGCTGGGCCTTCCTCCTCCCTCATCTCTCCTCTCATCTTCTTGCGCCTGCACACCGCGATCCTGTCACCTCGGGGGCGCCCTCTCTGTGGGCGTACGGCTTCGAGACGGGCACACGCGCGGCGGTCGCATCCTCGTCGTTTCCTTTTTTTTTGGGGGGGAACGCACGTTGGATGTGTTTCGCTGTGTGCATGTGTACGGGGGTCGCAGAGCAAGGGGTGCGCATGGTGTGACGCTCGGCGCCCTGCGCGCCTGATGCTCCGCCGCGTGACTATCCCGTTATGCATATCCTGTGTGCGCTCTAGCTCCATCGGGGCCCTGATGAGTCAGCAACAAACCATGCATTACACATCGTACGCGGAGTGTGCCCTCCTCCCCACGCAACGCTCTCTCATGTAGTGCGCTCGTCGCAAAACCAACAGGCGTGTCGCACGAAACTGGAGAGCAAGAAAGATGACCACGGCCCTCCCCACATCGGTGTGCGTATGTGGGTTTTGGCCCTGTCCGGACGCTTTCAGAAAGCGTTGATGCGTA